TGGAGAGAAAAACAGAACTGCTGGTCAAACACCAAGTCATAAGCCACAGAGGAAGGGATCTCTCCAGAATAAGTGTGATCTATTCACCCAAAATGTCTCTCTTCGCCATTGAGTTTATATTTGCACCACAGAGTACCTTCCACAGACAGGAAAAGAATAGAAGCAAGAGAATGCTCTAGCAATTGATCTGGAAAGCCAAAAACAAAATGAATGAGGTCAGAGGTGTGTACTATCACTTTAGACAGCATAAATCCCAGACCAAACAGAATGTGGTCAGGAAAAGAAAGCAAGAAAGAGAAAAAACGATGTCAGTAAAAGAGACATGAAGAAGAAAAAGAAAAAAAGGTAAATCAGAGGAACAAACTTTATTGGTGCGTCTGTCTTCCTCCATCTGTTTACTCCACAAGTACTGACACCCACTATGCGTGAGGGACTTTGTTGGATACTAGAGATATGATAGTGAACAACAACACTGTTGTTCAGGGTCTGCTGTCTTGTGAAAAGTGCCACCGTGGAGCAGCAAAGAAGCACATCAGAGGGGTACAAGCCAGGTCAAAACTAAAATGAAGTAGTCAATCCTTGATTCCAAACCCTTGGACTGATGCCCAGGTCAGTGGTGAAGATGACCAAGTAAGAAAAACCACCTTGAGATGCTGCTGAGCTGGGCAGAGTCAGTGGGATAGGTGATTTCACAGCTGCCACTGACAGGAACAGAATGATGGGACAAAATGGATGATTAAATAGTTACTCCCACTGGGGGATTATAAGTAAAAAATATGGGAGATCCTTGTAAGTTAATGATTACTCAAGAAAGCAGGCTTGCTTACCAAAAAACCCATGCAACAGAAGCAAGGGACATGCCCCAAAACAGTAAAACAACGGTGGCATGAGACCCAAAATCCTGCCCAGTGAACTCAGTAAATTAATGATCCCTAGAACAAGTTCTGTGCACACACACAAAGATAATTATTTATGGAAAGGTGACTTTTTAAAATGAAAAACCCTCATTGTACTAAAACTTGAAAATATTTTTCCAAAATTCTATATGACAATCCTGGCCTAACCACACAGGGACAAGTAAGCTTCCCGGCCCTACCTTGGAACTGATGATGGAAATGTGACATCTATTCAAGAAAAACAAAGAAGGTCTTCTCCCCCTCCCCACTTTTCCTTTGATTATAAAACGGCAGCCCACTAAGTTCTCAGGACATGGTATTTCTCTCCCACCTGCTTGTAAGTTTCACAAGCATCCTACTCTAATAAATCACTTCTCATCTACAACTTTGCTCTCACTGAATTCTCCTCTGCACGGAGACAGAAAGGACTAGGTACCAGCGCTCTTTGGAGCCCACCCACCCCCCCCAAAATGACACTGATTCGTTTCACCATTGGCATCTCAGAAGACCCTCCTGCAATCACCAAGGCTTTGCGGCTTCTTCTTAGGTAAACTAACTTCCATGAAGAAAGAAAAAAACACCCTCGCCTGCCTCCAACCTTTTTCATTCCCTTCCCACCAACCTCAACCTCGATCTGCCAAAGAACGTCTCCTCCCACAGAGAGCTCTTCGTTTGTTTGTATGGTGATCTGTTTCTTATTTTGATTGCTGCCGTACCCATGGAACCAGAGTGGAATTTGATAGGGGGCCCACTTTTATTACCCAGCCACCACAATGGCCATGACTGGGGGATCAAGGCTTCCTGGAAGAACTAATTCTAGACTGAGATGTCAAGATGAGTAGGAGTTTCTCACTGAACAGGTATATCCTTGTTGGGGAGAAGGAAACCAGGGTGATTGGATCATACCACCATTAAATATCTGAGTTCACAACCTGCTTGGATTCCATGTTCACTAAGCAATAGTCTAAATATAATTCAGCTTCCCACAGGGAAGGAATGTACTGGTCAAGTTGACATAAACATCCCACTTACAGGCAGTTGTGATTCTCGTTAGAAACGAAAAAATAAACTCCCTGACTTAGCGACTCTGGCTCTTGTGAGTTGAACTAGCCCCTCAGTAAGCCTATCGAGTGTGGAAGCCAGGCTGTCAACAAGAGTCCCTTCATAAGGAGGTGGCCGCCCTGCCCCGGACAAAGGGAACCCTGCCCTCCCGGGCCTCAACATCCACAAAGCCCATCGTCAGACATTTGAGGAAACTTCACATGTTTTCGTTAATTTATTTGGCTTTTATAAGTAAACATTAAGCTACACCTTGCAATCTATTAAACAGATTTAAAAGAAACAAAAATAGAATTGATACCTCCCATAAACTATCTTGGGCAAACTTCAGGAGATAGTGGAGGACAGGGAAGCCTGACGAGGTACAATCCAGAGGGTTGCAAATAGTTGGACACAACTTGACAACTGAACAACAGCAGCAACAACAACAAATAAACTAATGTGACAATTAGACTGAAAATAATTACTTGCATTAAAACCAACTCTGCAGGAATCAAATCCTGATCTATTTTCAAAAACTGAACATTTTCTCAGCTAAGTGAATTTAAGAACCTTCATCATAGCTGATGTTTCACATTGTTTTTGACAATGTTTTATGTTTTCTATGGTTGAAAAGTAGCATTTATTCAAATATTCTCATATTACGTGATAAGGAAAATCTTGAAAGTTCACCTCCCCTACAAGAAAAACAAAACTTAACTATGGCAGATTATTGGTTAATATTCTTAATGGTTAAGAAATTTTTAAAAGCTGGTAAGGAAAACACCTACACATACACCTACTAGAAAACAGGCCTAAGAAATTCACATAAAGAACTACAAATAGCCAGGAATACTATGAAAAAGTTCAGCCTCACTATAAAGCAAATTAAAACAAGATAACAGATTAGCCAAGGTTTTTAAATATTCTGAATATGAAAAGTTGTCAAAGATTTGTTGGAATGGGTATTCTCATACATTTCTGGTGGGCATATGAATTACCACAGTTGTCTAAGAGAGAAACTCAGCAACTGAAAATTAAATTTAAAGGTTCAACTCTTTGTTCACAGGAATCTGTCCTAAAAACAAATCATTAGACAAACACCCAAAGACCTGCATATATACAAAGATGTTCATCAGAAAAGCAAAATTGTAACATCTCACAGGGGAACAAGAATAATTGATGCTTTTGAACTGTGGTGTTGGAGAAGACTCTTGACAGTCCCATGGACTGCAAGGAGATCCAACCAGTCCATCCTAAGTCTCCTGTCTCAAATTAAAGGAAAGAAACTTTAGATGAACTCTAAATCACAGTTTGAAAATAAGTTTCATGCTTAGGAAAAAAAAAAAAAAAGGCTTCTGGAAAATTAAAGATGTTTAGAGAATAGAATTAATCCTTGCCTTTATTATTAGCATATATTTAAATAGAATACAATTATTTAAATACTTAAAGATTAATTGGTTCATTTAACCAAAGTATCCATGCCTAGTATAAGATCTTGTATGGAACTCAAAGATGACAAAGCTCAACTGAAATTTTAGAACAAAGTTCCATACATAAATAATTTTAGCTTTGAACAGGATGTTCTGAGAGGTGCACTTCTAATAACTGGTCTCAAAGCACTACATAACATAACTTCACCATAAAAAGAATGAAATATTGCCATTTGCAGCGACATGGATGGACCTAGAAATTACCATACCAAGTAAAGTAAGCCAGAAAGAGAAAGACAAATATCACATATCATTGCATGTGGAATCTAAAAAGATGATACAAATGAACTTATTTCCACACAGAAACAGACTCACAGACATAGACAACAAATGTATGGTTACCAAAGTTTGCTTTGGTTAGAATGCCTACGTTATGAACCTTTCTCTCTGGAGGCCCTACAAGGACAGTAATGGTTACCATGTACAACAGTCATTCAACAGAACAATGTCACCCCAAATCCAACCGGCAGGCTACAGTCCACGGGGTGGCAAAGAGACATGACTAAAAACAACAACAACAACAAACAAAATTCAGTCAGAGAAAGACAACAGAGAAGAAAAGACAAATGTCTCCATGTGTCCTTTAAAAAAAATCCTCTTACCTTAAAGTAGAGAAGAAATAGAGACTTAACACCTGGACAGCTGGAGAAGACTAACCTGAGTGTGGGTCCAGGTCGGTGCTTCATAAATGTCAGTGACACTGAGATGATGGGTTCTTATGGCCACAGCTCAGAATTTAATTTTCTCATTATCCATCCTGATATAAGTTATCTGTTCCCTCACCCAATGGTGGAAGGAATTCACTGTCCAAACATGGCTAAAAGCTAACGTACAGTGTGGGAGCCCAAAGAGGACCAGTTCTGAAGCTGACAGTGTAAGTAGGAACCGCCTCTAACTCTTTGCTGTACTGGACACAGTCACTGCCCACTGATGTCAAGGGGTCTGAACACCCAGCATCTTGAACAACCATCTACTCCATAATGACACTAATCCCGCTAATGGACTCTAGACCCTACTAGTCTAGTGGTGAGTTTGATTATGCACATTTACTTCACAAGTCCTGAGTCCTCCTTCTGTCCTCTTTGTTTTTTGGTCGCTCAGTCGTGTCTGACTCTCTTGTGACCCCGTGGAGTGGAGCCCATCAGGCTCCTCTGTCCGTGGGATCTCCCAGGCAAGAATACTCGAGTGGGTTGCCATTTCCTTCTCCAGGGGATCTTCCCGACCCAGGGATCGAACTTGCGTCTCCCACACTGGCAGTTGATTCTCTCCCACTGGGCCATTAGCCAAGGGATATACAGAAAGATACAAAAGCAAAAAACTTTGACCAGGTTTTGTGGGCACCAGGCTAAATGCTTATGCACCTTGGCAAGCCTGTGAGGAAGGTGCCATGATTATCCTCAAGATGAGGAGCCGGAGGCTGACCCAAGATCTCACAGCTAATAAGCGGCAGAATCAGGACTCACGCCTGGGCTGTCTTAGTCCAGAGCTATGCCCTCCAACCCCAGAGATGAAGACACCAGTCAATCCGAGAGGGAGCCACTGCAGGGGCCCGGGTTGGTAGAGTCACACTCACCGGCCCCATCCGGAGTGATGGTCCCCAGTTTCACAGCGAGAGGGTAGCCCGTGTCTCTGTAATGCTCCAGCGCATGCCCGTTGCCCCCGGAGCTGTCAAAGAACCACTTCCCACACAGCACGGAGCCATCGGTCAGGTTCAACCAGAGGTTCTCCCGAAGGTCGCACCTGGCACACTTCCAGCCACTGCGAAGTCATCAGGGGACAGTGAGCACGGCCACAGCACGAGGCGGGATGAGAAAACTAACATCCAAGAAGACGGGTGCTTCAAGCTGGGGGGGACGCAGGGTCAGTGGAATAACAGAGACCCATTCCAGAGCAGAAGGGGCACTCACACGGGGGGCCAGGTCCTCCAAGAGAGCTCTTTTACCTTAGAAAACTAACACAGAACCTGAGGGTAGGAAGAGAGGTCATTTCCTTAAAATTCCTGACCTGAGAGACAGTAAAGCCTGAGTGAGTTTAAATTATGAAAGATCCCATGTGTATAAACAGCTGAGGTTCTGAAGCATTAACCACTAGTAGTGATGCTTCACTACTAGTTTAAACAAAACCCTACCACACTGGCAATCTAAGTAGACAGGTAAACACTTTGCTGTTGTTGTTGTTATTCAGTCTCCAGGTCATGGCCAACGCATTGTGACCTCATGGGTGTAGCATGCCCGGCCCCTTTGTCTACCACTATCTCCCGGAGTTTGCTCAAATTCATGTCCATTGAGTTGGTGATGCTATCTAACCATCTCATCCTCTGTGCCCCCACTCTCCTTTTGCCTTTAATCTATCCCAGCATCAGGGTCTTTTCCAATGAGTCAGCTCTTTGCACTAGGTGGCCAAAGTATTGGAGCTTCAGCATCAGTCCTTCCAATGAACACCCAGGGCTAATTTCTTTGAGGATTGACTGCATTGATCTCTTTGCAGTCCAAAGGACTCTCAAGGATCTTCTCCAGTACCACAGGTTGAAAGCATCAATTCTTTGGTGCTCAGCCTTCTTTATGATCCAAGTCTCACATCTGTACATTATTTTAGCTTTTACTATACAGACATTTGTTGGCAAAGTGATGTCTTTACTTTTTAATACGCTGTCTAGGTTTGTCATAACTTTTCTTCCAAGGAGCAAGTCTTTTAATTTCATGGCTGCAGTCACCGTCTGCAGATTTTGGAGCCCAAGAAAAGAAAATGTCACTGCTTCCACTTTTTCCCCTTCTACTTGCCATGAAGTGATGGGACCAGATGCCATGATCTTAGTTTGTTTGATGTTGTTTCATACTAGTTTTTTCACCCTCCTCTTTCACCCTCTTCAAGAGGCTAAGTTCCTCTTGCTTTCTGCCATAAGGGTGGTGTCATCTGCATATCTGAGGTTATTGATATTTCACCCGGCAATCTTGATTCCAGCTTGTGCTTCTTCCAGTCCATCATTTCACATGATGTACTCTGCATACAAGTTAAACAGGTAAGATGACAATATACAGCCTTGATGTACTCCTTTCCCTATTTGGAACCACTCCATTGTTCCATGTTCAGTTCTAACTGTTGCTTTGTGACCTGAGGTGCAGATTTCTCAGGAGGCAGGTAAGGTGGCCTGGTATTCCCATCTCTTTAAGAATCTTCCACAGTTCGTTGTGATCCACACAGTCAAAGGTTTTCATGAAGTCAATGAAGCAGATGTTTTCTGGAACTCTGTTGCTTTTTTCTATGATCCAATGGATGTTGGCAATTTGATCTCTGGTTACGCTGCCTCTTCAAAATCTAGCTTGTACATCTGGAGGTTCTTGGTTCATGTACTACTGAAGCCTAGCTTGAAGGATTTTGAGCATAACCTTGCTAGCATGTGAAATGAGCACAACTGTACAGTAGTTTGAACATACTTTAGCATTGCCCTTCTTTGGGATTGGAATGAAAACTGACTTTTTCCAATCCTGTGGCCATTGCTGAGTTTTCCAAATTTGCTGACATATTGAGTGCAGTACTTTAACAGCATCATCTCTTAGGATTTGAAATAGCTGAGCTGAAATTCTGTCACCTCCACTAGTTTCATTCCTAGTAATGCTTCCTAAGGCCCACTTGACTTCATACTCCAGGATATCTGGCTCCAGGTGAGTGACCACATCATTGTGATGATTCAAGTCATTAAGACCTTTTTTGTATATTTCTTCTGTGTATTCTTGCTATCTCTTCTTAATCTCTTCTGCTTCTGTTTGGTCCTTACTGTTTCTGTCCTTTATCATGTCTATCCCTGCATGAAATGTTCCCTGGATCTCTCCAAATCTCTTGAAGAGATCTCTAGTCCTTCCCTGTCTACTGTTTTCCTCTTTCTTTGCATTAACGACTTCAGTGAAGGTTAAATGCCAGGTATGGGGCAAGGGCTTTACAGAAGTCTTACCATGCAATTCTAATAAACACTCTTCAGCATTATTACCATCCCCACTATCAAAGAGAACAACAGACCCAGAGGTACGGAGCCTTCCCTAAGACCACACAGAGCAGAAGGCAGCATAGCCAGGGTCCAACCATTCTGAATACATTCTGAATCCACCTGCTCTTTCCCTCTAGCCCCTGCCTCTGGAAACACACCTGCCTCTGATTACAGGAGGTGCCAATGAATCCTAAAGAGCATTCCAGCCAAAACCTGATAACCAAAGACTGTTGTAAGTCTTTGTAGCTGGGTCCCCCTGCTGCTAAGTCACTTCAGTTGTGGCCGACTCTGTGCGACCCCATGGACGGCAGCCCACCAGGCTCCCCCATCCCTGGAATTCTCCTGGCAAGAACACTGGAGTGGGTTGCCATTTCCTTCTCCAATGCATGAAAGTGGCAAGTGAAAAGTGAAAGTGAAGTCGCTCAGTCGCCTCCGACTCTTAGCGACCCCATCAACTGCAGCCCACCAGGCTCCTCCGTCCATGGGATTTTCCAGGCAGGAGTACTGGAGGGGGTTGCTACTGCCTTCTCCGTGGGTCCCCCTAGAGGTAGACAAAGATCTGAATGCAAATGGCTTGTCCAGGAGGTGATCCCAGGAAGCACCCTAGGGGAGTTGAGGGAAGAGAGACTGAAAGGGTAGGCAGCCAGGCCGGAGACTGTCAACAAGCAGATGACCCCCCGGGCCAATGGGGCTCAGTCCAGCTGCGGAACTCCAGGAGACAGTTACCCCACTTGAGGGTGGGGGTCTAGGTATTCATCCTTCCACTCCACAGATTCTGGTTGGGGGCTGTTCCAGGAGGACAGGAGGGAGCATGACTTCACAGCATTTCTGATTGTCCCATGCACCAGCCTACCTGGCTCTGGCATATAGAGAAAGCCCCTAAGAAAGAGCTGCAGGTGTCTGCAATCAGATGCCTTAGGGTGGGGATGGGCTGGGCTCTGGGGTAGGGACTGGCCACAGTCAGCATCTACTACAAAGGTATAGATAATTCTAGAGAGAATTTTTGAGCTTATTTTTATAAAAGGCAACTGATAAGAACATATATAACTGCTAATTCAGTGAAGAGGTAGAAAAATAAATAATCCTTTGACCAGTTTTAGGCAGTAAAGTTCCATTTTGCTGACTCTCACCTTGGAGGAATTCTGACTCCATTGTCCAACTGGGTGAGGTTATTGGCATACTTCGACACTGGCAATTCATTCTCCCATGTATCTGGGTCCTGCTTTCTGTATGGAGATTTTGAGCTGAGAACTGCATCACAAGCAATTGTTACCTATAAGACAAATGCAGATATAATACATAAAACAGTTTGAGAACAGCAATTTTTGTAAAATGAATCTTAAACTTTATTAATAAATACAACTTAAGTCAAGAAAATTCAAACAGCTTAATTACCACGAGAGCAAGATGTTAGTTTCCTGACTCTAGCACTTTCCCCCTGGGTCTAGCTAGGTTTTGTCCTGGCCTGGAATTTGCAGTATTAACAATGACACAAGATAGCAAAGAACTAAATCCAGTTTGTAAATTCAAGCATAAAAGTCAGACTTAACAATTTCTGTCTCTGAGTAAGTGGAGTGGAAAGTATACGGTGAACAATTTACAAGGGTGAAACTAGCAATAGGAATACCTAGGATTTACCCAAGTGGTATATTTTACTCCTAACAAATATACACCAAGATATCCAATATCCTTAGCTCATCACACAATGACAAGTGGTCAAGGGCACTTGAATGGAATGCAAGCAGCATGGCTCCATTTCCTAATCTGGTGCAAATGTGACCTTGGATGGGGACATGCCTAGATGTCTCTGTGCCAGACCAGCCATTATGAGCAAATCTGTGATGTCCGGCTTGGCACCAACTAACCACCAGGGAGGGCAGACTCTGTACTTTCTCCCAAACCCCGTTGATCCTCAACACAGGCCTCTCACAACTATTCACTATTTGCTCAATGCTGTAAGCTATTTCTAGCTCTCTTTAAAAGCATATTCTGATGAGAATGTTAAATGGCACAGCCACTTTGGAAAATAATTTGGCAGGTCCTCAAATGGTTAAACAGAACTACCATATGACCCTGCAATTCCATTCCGAGGTATACACTCAAGGTATTAATAAATAAAAATAGAGGTCTACACAAAAATTTATCCACAAATGTTCACAGAAGCATTATTTATAACAGCCGAAAGTAGAAACAACCCAAAAGCCCATTAATGATAAATGGATAAAGTATTGTATTTTGACATAAGAACTGTTATCAGCAATAAAAAAGAATGAAGTACCGATACATGCTACAACCTAGATGGACCTTGAAAATGTATGCTAAGTTAAAAAAAGTCAGCCACAAAGAACCATGATTCCTTTTATATGGAATGTACAAAATAGGCAAATCCATAAAGACGGAAAGCAGATTAGTAATAGCCAGAGGCTAAGCGGATAAGAGGCAGAGGGGTAGGTGATGGTTGTGGGGTAATAAAAATATTCTAAAATGAAATAGTCATGATGGATGCCCAATTCTGAATATAATAAAAGCCACTGGATATAATAAAAGCCACTGAATATAATAAAAGCCAATTTTTTAACAAAAATGTATATTCTATATCACTATCCTCCTCCACAATTAGCTGAACTTCATACAGAATGTTTTCCTCTGGGTAGCACCAACAACTGACCCGAGAACAGATTAAGAGACATACTCTATGGTTCCCTGCTAGCTCACTTGGTTAAGAATCCACCTGCAGTGTAAGATACCAGGGTTTGATCCCTGGGTCAGGAAGATGCCCTGGAGAAGGGAATGGCCATGCACTTCGGTATTCTTGCCTGGGAAATCCCATGGACAGAGGAACCTGGTAGGCTACAGTCTATGGGGTCACAAAGAGTCAGACACGACTTAGTGACTAAACCACCATCACCACCAAATGGGAAAGAAATCTAAAGAGTGGAGATAAATATATATATATACACACACACAAAGACACACACATACAACTGATTCACTTCATTGTACAGCAGAAACTAATACATTGTAAAGTAACTATACTTCAATAAAAACATAAAATAAACAACTACAAGGGAAAAAAAGAGATAATAGAGGCCTCAGCTGCCATCCCACACCCACCCAGGCCATGAGCAATTCCTATCAGTCCTACATCCAAAATCTATTTGCAATCTACCTCTTCTTAATTTCAGCCATACCCATCTTAGTTCCAACCATCTTTCCAGCCACACAACAGCTGCCTTAAGGTCTTCTTTCTCCCACTCTCGCTCCCTCTTCTCTGCCCAGTAGGCAGTGATCTGCCGTGAACATTAGAGCCCACCCTTCTCCAGCTTTTAAAACTTTCTGAGGATATACTGAACACTGCTAATTGACATCACTGGGCTAGGCATGGTCAGAAGGAAAAGGTTCCTGCCCTCAAAAAGCTTACATTCCATTACAAAAAAAAAAAAGCTTACACTCCACTACAGATCAGGCAATCAGGCATTCAAAAATATATTTAAACCTCTCCTTTTTTGCATGGGGGGGGGGTGGGGATTGTTTATTTGATAGAAATTTTTGTCATAATTGATTTACAATGTTATATTAGTTTCAAGTGTACAACACAGTAATCTGATATTTTGTAATATATACTCTATTTAAAGTTATTATAAAATAACTGGTTATATTCCCTGTGCTGTACCTTATATCCTTCTATCTTATTTATTTTATACCTAGTAGTGTATACCTCTTAATCCCCTTTCCCTATCTTGCCCCCTCTCAATGTTTTCCAAAAATATTCCCATTCATCTCCCACAAGCAGTGTTATATAATTAGTGCTTCCTTTCAATTATCAAAAATCATCTTCCACTCCCTTCCGGCAATGTCCCTAGAAAACAAGGTTGGGTTCACCATGAGCTCCCTGATGCTTATGTGTTTGGGCCATGCTGCCTTAGCACTCCTGGCTACAAATCCTCATCTTTTTACTCTGGCCTGTTATAATCTCCCTGCTATTTCATTGACTACCTTGATCGCTTCCCTGTCCTCTTCTGAATCTTCTCCAACCCATTAGATCTTTAAGTGTTCTAGTTTGTAATGCACAATGATTCAGATGTAATATTCTCTCTTTTCTTTGAGATTCCTTCCTGGTGACACTCAAAAAAATTTCCTTAGTCGTCTGGGACACTATAAAACACTGACCTAGTGTTTTCAGAATACCATCTAAAATCACTTAGAGACCCTTTTTATGGATCACAGCTGAAAGTCAGGATCCATTATCCTATATTATATTATGAATTATTGCAAGTTCAGGGGTGTTCTGGCATTGGCTCAAACTGGCTCACGGAATTGATTGCTGAATTTTAAGAAATTCTCCAAGAAGATTGTTAAGCACAGCCATTATTAGAAATTAAATTCTAAAAAAAATTCTAAAAAAAAAAAAAATTAAATTCTATAGGCTCACAAATAAACATATTTTTTAAAGGCAAAAAATGTTTAAAACTCTTCACTCCCTAGCTGTGTTACTCTATCTTAATATCTAATCTATACGCTTTGGAAGTCACTTATATCCACGTTATATAAGTGGTGGAAACCATAGGTGACAGTGTCCTACTACACATCTCTTCCCAACACTGCATTGGTGACATGTTAGCCTGAAATCAGCCATGGTGGAAGTATTTACACCACTGAAATCGGCAACCACTACAGTGCAGGGAGCTGGTTGCTAACCAACTACAAGCGCACCACTGCTTGAGTTCCTGAGTCTAAAATGAGGCATTAGAGCTCAGGCTCTAAGATCCCTAAAGTCCCAGACGCTATCTCTCTGTGATCCCTGTATCACCTAAGAGGTAGTTCAGTTTTCTGGTAGCATCTACAGAGTACCTATCTGAAACTGAATTTTTTTGTGCTGAGAAATGCAAGATATGACAGAAGACCTGGTTGGGCAACTTGAAGTTCAATAATTTTTGGTATTTAAAAACCTAAAAAGAGAGTTATCAAATACCCAAAATGTAGCAAAAGCATAAAAAGAAATTATAGTAACGAGCATCTGTTATATAGATAAAACCAGTTACCATCAGATATATCCAGGTTTCCCCTTCTATCTCCCTACCTCACCTTCCAAACAATTCTCTCCCTCTGTTTTTAATTCTTAAAGCACTCCTTAAAAGACTCTATTAGAAATTATAATATATATTGCTAGATTCAGATTTCTGTGACACTTCACCTCTCTATAAAAGCATTCACACTTGGAATTATGGTCTGCATATAGGAATAATTAAAAGTACTTAAAGGCTCTCTTCTTAACTTTTCTCACATGAAGACTTTTTTTTCGTAAGTGAGTGAGAGAAAAATCATCCCTCATGACATTCATTCACAATGTGCTGCTGCTTTTTTGATAACAGACTCAAGAGTTATATTAAACAAGAGCAGTGAGAACTGCTAGTTTTATACAGATATAAGCTTTAGTATATAATATCAGATAATGGCAAGACCATTTTGTCCATCATATATTTTGCCCTTGGTAAATGCTACATGAGTAGACTTGGGGAACTGCAGAAAGGAGAGGTAATTTAATTCTGTACGTGTTGCTAAAAGCTATGCACTTGGTACTATTATAATAAAAAGGATATGCTAGATCAAATAATTAGAGGAAAGAGCTACAATAGCTAAATACACAAATTTTTCAGTTCTGTGGTCTTATGCTTAGGTATAAAGTAGATCAGAGGCAAAATTGGCTGAATGGTAGAAACCTTGCCCCTAGTGCCAGGGGAACCCCGAACACAAATGTGCCCTCTTGGCAGGGGCACGTGAGCAGCAAGGGGGCTATAGACAGAGTCACACAACATCTGGAAGGATCAGGAACCCAGAGACTTAGCTTTGGTTTTAGCAAACCTTGAGGAGGGAAAAAAAATGAGCTGGAATGTCTAATTCTGCTATCTGTGGCCAGACTCTGAGAAGTCAGGACATAACAGAGTGGAAAAGAAAGAGAAAGGAACACAAAAAAGGCTGAGGCACTGCAGAAAATACAGGAAATGAGGGAAGAGTAGGAAAATGGTCTGGGCCCCACAGAATTCGGGAATCAAAGTAAAACAGAAACTGGCTTCCTCGTACCACCACCACCACCACCACCCCGCCCTCAGCTTTAAATTGTTCAGGAAGATGAAAAAGCTGCTTCACAAAAGAGAAAGGAAGGGGAAAAAACTCACCACTGAATCTAAATTCTAAAACCTATAAAGCAGTCTCTGTCCTAAAGGAACACACTCCCACAGAACTCCTGGAGACCTGTGATTTCTAAATACTTGGTTATTTTCAAACTCCTGTTGCTGTTGTTTCTCAGTGGAACTCTTTTATGTTTCCCAAACAAAATCATACATGGAAGGCCAACATGCAGGAGAGAGAAAAATTGTAGGCGTCCCTCTAAAGGGGAGGCAGTCCCTCTCCTGCACATCTCAGGGGCACAGCTTGAAAATCGAAGCGAGAGACCGTGATTCACAGGTGGCAAGAAGCCAGCCCACGTGGAGGAGGCCAGCCAGCAGCAGCAGAGGGCACGCAGCCCAGTGTTACTGCAAGGGACCCAGAGGGCCCTCTGCACAGACGAGCAGCCCCTGCTCCTGCTCACGCTCCTCTTCCTCTCTCACCCTGCCTTCCCCACCGCCCAGCACACACACACCTGACACACGCAGAGTCACGCGCATCTAGCTAGCAGCCGTGCACACTCACTGACCAGGGCTGGCAACTCCTCAATATTTGGTAGGGCTATTTCATAGTGGTCTGGGAATATAACAAGTTTGGCTTCATCTTCATATTCATAATCGTCGCTATTTAAATCGTCATCAGTATCTAGATCTGAGGAGAAAACAAAAACAAAGAACAAGAAGTGAAGAAAGAACATGGCACACCAGGGCAGCACTCACTGGGAAAGCCAGCAGCTCACAGGGCGGAAAGCCAGCCATCCTTCTGCCCCGAGCCAGGACTAGCGGGCCTCTCCATCCTCCCTAGGTGTGCGCACTTACCCCTAGGAACAGACGGACAGAGAAGACTCAGTCATACCACAAAGCTTGGTACTCAAAGCATTCATTTGCACGAGATGTTCAATTCTTACAGATGTTGAAAGGAAGAGGTTGGTCATTAGGACTTGTCGGGTACTTGGCTCCTGACTTCACTAGAATAGGGTGGAATATTTCTCCTAACACAACAGAAGAAAGTACATGGATTTGAGAGTAGATAAGCCCAGCTTCAGCTCTGGCTCCAAAATGAATGATTCTTTGGTCAAGCCACAAACTCTCCAAGCCTTAGTTTCCTCATTCGTAGAATGGAGATAATAAAACTTATCTCACACAGTTTATATGGAGAATAAATAAATTATAAACAAGAGATCTGGCACATGATAATTCTTACCATTTACTGGTGACCTATTTTAAAATAAAACCTCAGTTTCCCCCCCGCTCCCCGTCTCTCTCTTTCCCACCCTCCCCCTCCCCACTAAGAGTTGTTGAGATACTAAGCCAGAGGGGGGAACCCTATAATCTAAGCAGTCCTGTTGTCCTCAGGTCGGGGAGGATTTTCAGTAAGGAAGTCTGGCCTGGTATCTATCAAGTCATCACCTTTTTGCTAGGCTGGCCCCTGGGAAAGGTTACGCAAAGGCTCAAGGAAATGTCCTGTCACAATATTTACATGGACATTTCAGCCTTGCATTCACATGGATGCCAGAAACCAGATCATGTTTGTATATTTAGACATTTGGAACTATGGTGATAAAGAGCTCTCAAGCCATCTTCCACTCACACACACACAAACAGGTACACAAATACGGGCTCTGTAAACAGGAGAAAGTTATTTTACTAGACGAAGCAGCCAGCTGGGAACCAAGGGATCTAGATTCTGTTACTACCTTGCTGTATGCCTCAAAAGCCTCAACCTGGTACCTTTTTATGTACAGATCTGCTCTTAAATTCTCAAAGAGAGAGCAGTTTTAAGTGGAAAGTGAGAAACAGCTGAAACATAGTCTACACATTTTAATAAAAGGTTCTAAATAATAAGAATCGGAAATGCCAAAATAAACAAATAACATTGTTAGGTAGCCATAAGAGGTTGTTTTCACAAAAAACAATGTCAAAGAAGAGTCTAAGAGTTTAAAAAGTAACTAGAGGCTTTTATTTAAAGAAAATAATTCAAATAAAGATAGACATCCTATGTTATAAAAATAAGAATGTCCCAGTATCTAATTTTTAAAAATTAGAACCTAAATGTTCAATGAGAATGGTGTTTAACCCACTAGAATATTACTTAAATGATATTTTTTTTAGACTGTGTAGAAACATGGAAATGTTTATGCCATGTTAATGCTAAAATTATAAAGTTCATCTTCACTGAAAAGACACACTTAGTCATATTCATAGACAAAAATTGGAAGGAAATCTGAACAAATGAAAACAATGAATGGGGAATTCTCTGGTGGTTTAGTGAGTTAGGACTCCACACTTTCACTACCGAGGGCACAGGTTCAATCCCTGGCCAGGGAACTAAGATCCCACAAGCTGCATAGCAAGGCCAAAAAAAAAGAGAAGAACAAGGGGATGAACTTTATTCTTAAATTCTTCTTTATTATATTGTGCATAATAATTCTGAATAACCAAAGTATAAATCTTTTGGTTTTGTGTCTAGATTCAGTTCATATAACACATAATCTAAATGTTTTTTGTTCCAGAGAAAACATACACAATTCGTAATGCTAATTTAAATCTTACCTGGCCAAAAGCAATGATAAACTAAGTCCAAAAAAAAAAAAAAACCCACCCTGATGTTGACTAGCTACATAAGCCTGGGCAAGTTCTTTCCAAGTTCACCTTCCTCAGGAGGAGACTATGGACATTATTAGCTACCCACTACGACTGTTGAGAGAATTAAAGAAGGTAAGGTTTTAAGGCACCTAGTTAGGATCTGGTAGGGGTGAGGGGCTCCACAGAATAGCTGCCATCACTCCCACCATCACCCTCACCATCACCGTCCTCTCTTCTCCACACTACTAACAACTAATATAAGCACAAGTGCCCTCCCTTCCCTTTGGCTGACAGCTCCAAAGCAATGCTGAAGTCAGTTTCAGGAGGAACCAGGATATCATGGGGGATCTTCTACGTGATCCAAATGTGGAGAAGATATAAACTTCAGATGCTTCTCAGATGGTAAGCTCTAAGCGTAAGAAGTGAGTCTTATTCACCTTCAAATCCCTAGTCCCGGCACAATGCCCAGCACACACCACACACTCCACAAATGTCTGGAAAGGAGACATTAGGAGACATTAACTTTAGGAAGTTAACAGCACCAGCATGTTAAAGACAAAAGCAAAGCTAGAGCATCCAAAGTGCTGTTTCAGTTTGGGGTTTTTTTACATTGATAATTGATGTCTGTTAAAAAAGCAAGACTGCTGTCATGCAAAAAAGCAGAGCTTTGTACTGGAGTGGCTTGCCATTCATTCCCTTCTCCAGGGGATCTTCCTGATCCAGTGATCGAACTCTGGTCTCCTGCATTGCAGGCAGATTCTTTACCGTCTGAGCTACCAGGGGAGCCGACATTCAGCAGAGGTAACCTACACTCTGAATCTAACTGGCAAAGTTAAAGTTTCCCCTGAATATACATGACCCTTTGATTCTAAATATAAGTCTACAATCTCCAAATTTTTCTAATTAGAGTCTCACCAGCCCAAAATATCTAGTTAAGGAATCTACAGGGTAACTAAGGGCTAGGGACCAGCAGAAAAAGGACCCCCAACCTCTTCCAAACAGTTACTGGGACAATGAACTGGTAATTCCTGGATGGGCTCTTTCTCTAAATCAGAAGACAAATTTTATTTTATAATACTCCTTCTTGAACTCTACCTCAGTGATCTGCTCAGATCCCTGAGAGGTAGCTGGGACCACAGCCACTCCAAAAAGTCACTATGAAGTGGCACAGCAGAAGAAAGGATCTCTAAATCAAGCCAGGGCTCTGAAGCCCGGCTCAGGGTTCTCTCAGCCTGACTGTAACAAATTAACTAACATTAATTTGTTAATCTGTGTGCTGGAAGTGAGCAGCCTGCTGCATCAGTGCTGGGAAATCTGACCAACCGCAAACCCTCCCATGAGGGTACGGGGGTAGCGCCTTGAGTGCAGACCCTGCACTGTGACCTACTTAGAAGGAAAGGACGAAACGGGGTTCCTTGAAACTTCTGGTCATTATAGGCGCGTGTAAGTTTCCTGAGCAGGCCTGTTCCAGGAACTGTCCACAGCGGCTCTGTTTCCCGCCTATTCCTCATTAAGTATGAACGTCAAGGCTAAAGGCCAAAAGGCGAATGTAAGCTCTCTGAGGCTTAGCAGTAGCTTTTCGACATCCCAGTCTTCAGACACAGAAGAGCTGACTCATTTACTCCTATTTGTGAAAGTTGTTGGGGGAGACAGGTGGGGGAGTCAACAGAAACATGAACATTTAACCCTGTTTTGTGTCAGTCACTCAGTTGTGTCCGACTCTTTGTGACCCCATGGACTGTAGCCCGCCAGGCTCCTCTGTCCATGGGATTCTCCAGGCAAGAATACTGGAGTGGATTGCCATTTCCTCCCTCCAGGGGATCTTCCCAACCCAGGGATCGAACCCAGGTCTCCTGCACTGAAGGCAGATTCTTTATCATCTGAACCACCAGGGAAGCCCTAACACTGTTGTATGACATACCAAAGAGATGACCTTTTAAATTAAATTTACTACCAGTTATTTACATGACTACACACTTGTAGCTTTAACATAAAGAATATTTGAGATGAGGTGAGAATCCCATCATGAGTCCTGGGGTATTTCTGTGAAGACCCTGGACTCCCTTCCACTCCCTCTTCTCTCCTTTCATCCCCCAAAACAGTAAGTTTTATATCAGCCAACTCCCAAAATCCACAATCTTTCACATTGTTGTAAATTATCTCTGCCAAAGACAGCCTAATAGTGCCCCTTTCTAGCTTAAAAACACTAATGCAGAGCTGCCCACTTTCTCAGTTCACAGCAATTTTTGCACAGTGGCCCTAAACCAAAAGACACGCCCAATGTTCTATTTATTTAGTATAACTTAATAACTATATATTAATAACTATAACTTAATAACTATAACATAACTTAATAACAAGTTATATAACAAATATTTTTGTTCTAACAAGTTAGCAGGCATTTGAAAATACAATACACATAAACTGAAAGGAAGTAAATGTTTTATTTCCCTCTTAAATAACCATTAATCCCTGACTAAAGGGATGTGTGCACCTGGAAGGCATGGCAGAACTTCTCTTTGAATCAGATTGGACACTGCCTCCCTTATTTTCCATTCCACATTTATTTTCACATGGTACTTGCCTTTTTACCATAGAAACCACTAAAAACAAGACCACTTCACAAAGAGATAAAGTCACTGAAAGGAATATAGGATAATATACTAGCGAGACTGCATCAAGCTACTCATTCATGCAATGTTCAAGCATCACTGTGTTCCCTTAAAGAGTTAAAATATCCTGTGATTTACCTGTGAGTTTGTTGTGGCAACCTGGAGTGTCCCAGGACACAGTTTGGGAACCAAAGTGTTAATGGCTCCCCACCACCTACACAAATAAAGTCTAAAAGCATGGCATAGGTCTAAACTATTGCTGGAGAATACATAACATATATGAGGATGTACGAACAGAAACTACTATTTGTCTCTGGGTAACTAAGTAGCTGGGATATAGGGAAGGGAGAAAAACTTACTTTTTGTTATGGAGGCTCTTAAAACTTTTCAATTTTAAGCTTTGTCCATGTGCTATGTATTTCAAAGAATATTTTTAAAATCCTAAATTTAAATTTCTCTCCTATGAGAAGCACAAAATTTCTCTGATTCAAAAATTACCAATAACTGTCATTATTGATTCTAAAAAGAGTTACCAGCAAAAGTGAGAACTGAGGGATGGATCCTTAACTAGGATTTCATTTAGATGACTATCGAGGTAATCAGGAGAAAGAGTTAACTTGAATGTAGGGGCAGAATGGGGCTCAGGAGACTTGGGTAAGCATACAGGACTAGCTAATGGCCTCAGTTTCCCTTTTAAAATCAATATGAAGGTCACAATGATTCAGTGGTTTCAATGTCAGTATTGAGCCAACAGGAATGGAATTAGTCATAAAGTCATTAAGTGAAAGGGGATAAAAAGCCTCTATCCAGGAGAAAGTGTTAGTCATCTGCGTGTGTTTTGTGAAGGGGACGAAGGGTCATCATAACTATATTTCAACAGCAGTGAAAAAGTACTTTCTAGTCAAAGAAACAAAGAGGCTGCAAGAGAGCTCTGAGCTCGTTTCCTTTTCTTGAAGAAACAACCCAATGTCCCTTTTTAGGGAAGGAAATTGTGGCAGAGGCTACATACTGCCTCCCAGTATTCATTCTCTCCTTCTTCATTTTTTAATCTTTATTTATTTATTTGGCTATGCCAGGTCTTAGTCGTGGCATGCAGGATCTTTAGTTGCAGCATGCGAACTCTCAGGTGCGGGATGTAAGATCTAGTTCCCTAACCAGACATCAAACCCCAGCCCCCTGCATTGGAACCATAGAGTCTTAGCCACTGGACCACCAGGGAAGTCCCTACTCTCCCCTTCTTCCTGACTAACAGACTTTACTCAGTGAAGCCAGTTAATAGACTTTGCTTTCCAGCCTCCTATGCAGCACACAGCATAAGTATGTGACCAATTTCTGATGAGAGAAGTATAAACTGAAGTGTAGAAATGGGGATCTGTGAGAACACTGACAAAAGAAAAATGAATAAACTGGGAGACTAGATTCTTTTTTGTCCCTTCCCCTTTTTCTTCCCTGCTTTCCAGAATGGGGATGTGATGGCTGGAATTCCAGCAGCTATTTTGGACCATGAAGTGACCATGAGGTTAGAAATCACAGACCGGGATGGAGTGTGAAACAAAAATATGGGAAGAACCTAGAATCTGTTGAATAAGGGTATCACATCAGCCTGGATTTGCTGTTTCCCAACATCCTCTACATGAAATAAAGGAAATTAACACCTACCTCATTTAAATTCACCAATATTTTATAATTCCTGTTAAATAAACCAGAGGTAAGCCTAATACAGGACTACCCAGGTGGTTCCGTGGTAAAGAACCCACCTGTCGATGCAGGAGACACGGGTTTGACCCCTGAGTCAGGAAGATCCCTTGGAGGAAGAAATGGCAACCCACTCCAGTATTCTTGCCTGGGAAATCCCATGAACAGAGGAGCTTGGAGGACTACAGTCCATGGGGTTGCAAAGAGCCAGACATGACGGGAACACAGCACAGCACAAGTCTAATACAGTCCTTCAGTGAAATTAATTTACAGGCCACACCACCTTTAAAACAGAGCTATGATCAGTGTGGCAAGAGTACAGTGGCTGCTACTGGGAGCAATGAAGCACCAGTTGAGGCTTTAAATCAGGGCCTGTGAAATGTAATTCTTACTATAAGTTTAGTGAAGCATCTGAGTATAAAATCAAAGAAAGAACTGGGGCCTAGGGCAAGTCCCAGAGTGCCAGTGACATTCAAATTTAAGTTTTTAAAAAACTGGTACAATCCAAATATAACATTTTTGCTGGATTGTGAGTTTCTGGCTTTCTAAGACATGAAGTATTAAGAGAACAGACAGCAGCCCATAGAAAAAGTCCCACTGAAATGAAAGCGGGGGGCTAGTGCTCCCAGGAAGCGATGGAGGGGTCCACACAGTATGAAGCACAAAACCTCAATGCTTACCTTTGGATTATTTGTTAAAAAGTTACTTGACAATATCCTCTACCACCAATATGATAATTAGAAAAATAAAACTGCAAGGTCTTTTGAGTAAAAAGCACAAAGGTTAAAGGACAAGAGGTCAGCTAACTCCTTTATTCAACCAAAGAAAATAATGAAAAACAACAACAGCAGATCAAGATGTTTAAGAATGCCATGCTGATGTCATTAATTCAGAAGTTCATTATCACTAGTAGTGCAAGAGAGCCAAAGGCTTATAACCAAAACATCAATATGCATTCAATCATTTCAGCTTTCAGGCTTATTCTAAGCTTCTCCAAGTCTAGTTGGTTAACCTGGGTTGTGGTCCAAAGCCATGCCGAGCAGTAGAAAAGATAGGCCAGTGTGGGAACACCAACTGCAGATAAGCCTCATAAAGAAAAGCATGGGCTGAAAATATGGAGAGAAGACAGCAAGAGTGGACCCAGTGCAGAGTAACAGAGAACCCCACCATGAAGGAAACTCAGCTCCAAGACATCCAGTGGCTTTACTTTTCAAATAAGAAATGTGTCTTTTTGTTACAGAAAAAGAATTTAAACACAAATAAGCAAAAAGATGAAAACTGATGTCACCTCAATTTCACCATCAGGAAGGAGTTACTATTAACAATTTGGAGCACATTTTGCCAAACACTATTAGATTCTCAGTTATATATGTATATGAGTATGTATGTACACACACATATATACACATACATACATATACACACATATATGTAAGTACATACATATATATACACATATACATGCATTTATGTACACACATAGAGATATACATACACACACACGCATATATAATTTTTTTAACCAAAATAAAATTACAACATGCAAACAATTTTGAAATTCCTTCCAAACAATAATCCTAGGCATTTCCAGATACAAACTCGCCTGGTCAAAAATTATCAAACCATTTTTTCTTCCGGGAAAACCATACAGGAAGTTTAATATGAAATATGATCATAATTACATGAGATAGAAGCCAGTCCTCACTTGTATGAGTAAAACTAGCTCTTCTGAATGAGGGAGACAGAAAATCACTATTAGATAAACACCACATGGTTACAGGCAAGATCCACTAATGGATGATAAAATTAGTGAACAAAAACTTGAGGAGAAACAAGTATTAGTATCATCTCCAAGTATCACTTTCAAAATATTTATTAACTATACCTTAACCTCACAGTGGAAAAACCCAGCAGACACCACCTTAACAAGTGATCAAGGTGAAGCATCTCCAGCATATAGTTCAGCTTCATGTGCTCCCTGATGGCAGGCCCTGAAAAGGGCCCATCACCTCTGAGGAATTCTGGCCAAAAACGCATGATCTCAGGCTCACCATGAAGTCACATGATAAATCCAAGTTGAGGTACAGTCCACAAAATAACTGGTCAGTACTCTTCAAAAGTGTCACAATTATTAAAGATTTAAAAAGTCTACAGAACTATCACAGATCAGACAGGAGTAAGGAAACAGACAACCAAATGCAATGTGGGATACTAGGGCAACAACAACAACAAAAAAAAACAATGTTAGTAGGAAAAAATAGTGAAATACAAATAAAGTCTGTAGCTTGGCTAATATTAAAAAGAAAAAGAAAAAAATAAGAAATAAAGAAAAAGAAAAAAAAAAACCTGTCTCTTCTTTAAAGGCAGTAAAAAGGAGACCAGAAACAGAAGTACGATTTCTCTCCAGGCACTTTCAGCCTAATTGCTTCAAAACACTAACCCTACAAGTGTGTTGGAAGCATCCTTCACCACAGGTAATCACAAAGTGGAGACAGACCATCTTGAGTGAAATTGGTTCCTCTCATCTTTAAACTGTACAGCAGTAAACAGCCAGTTGCTCCAAATCAAACATGTGCAGTCACCCATACACACACACACACACAGAAAACTGTTGACAGCTATTTACATTACCTAAAAAAATCTTGGAATTCCTCCTTTTGGGTAAAGCGCCACCAGATGCACCTCTTACCTTCTGAAAAGAAAACGAGAGATTGTTAAAATGCACAGCCTCTGGGACAGATGATTAGGAGTGGGGGTAGCATCTCAGAGGTTCTTAGTTTTCATAAAAAGGCCAAGAGGAAATATTCAATCTGGACTAGAGATCCCAGGATAAACAGAAACTTGACCCATGTCCATGAAGGGAGGGGGAAGGCAAAGGCAATGTTCCACCTGATTATGCTTTCACCAAATTATCAAGGAAGTACCTCTGGGAAGGGAAGTGAAGCCAGGGGTCAGGGTGAAGTGGACACTTCAAGTGGGGAAGTGTTTCCAAGAGGCTGGAGTCCATGCCCGAGCCAGAGCAGCCCTGGGGGGATGGCGGCTCCAGGAGGGAGGCTCTTGTTCCCCTGCTATCCACTAAGCCCTGTGCTTGTCCTCAGTGCTCACAACTGCTGCTGGAAAGAGTTCAAAAATATCAATAAAGAGCTGCTGATATTCTGGTCATAATAAGCCCCAATCTAACCTCCCTAAACATTTTTGGAGCTCCCACTGGCGACTGTTCACCACCCTTCTACCTCTGGTAGAAGTTCCCTGCTATCAAGAGATTTTGTGAAAGAAGTCATTCCTTACCCTTCTGATACTTGCACAAAATGTTCTACTCTCAAAGAGGCTATTAAAATGTTTGCCTCAAATGACCAAAACTATATTTCCACATGCATGTTCTTCTTGTTACTAGAAAAGAGCATATTTCAAACACATAGCAGTTGTGTGGGTCAAATCCCAGCATCCTTTCAAGTAGCCACACGTTAAGGCAGCACCAAGGCCCCTCCTATCACTATTAGAGGCTTCCCAGGGGGGTCAGTGGTAAAGAATCCATCTGCCAATGCAGGAGACACGAGTTCAATCCGTGGGTTGGAAGATCTCCTGGAGGAGGAAATGGCAACCCACTCCTGTATTCTTGCCTGGAGAATTCCACAGACAGAGGAGCCTGGCGGGCTACGGGCCATGGGGTCTCACAGAGCTGGACACAATTGAGCAGCAGCAACAGCCTATCAGTCTTAACTCTCCTTTCCCACATTTCATTATTTGGCATTGAAAGTGGACTCATCTTTGTGATTCTCCCAATAAATTTTTATAGCTTCTACTATAAGTTTATAGTTCCCATTTCAGGAAAGTAAAATTATTGAACTCTAGCTCAAAAGAGTGTGGGGAGAAAGGAGGAGAGGAGCTACAGGGAGACCTGCTGGACTGTGAGGCTCTCCCCGAATGTGAGAGTCACACTTCAGACTCAGATTAGGTCTGATTCCATTCAGGGAAAAAAAAAAAAAAAAAGGCAACTACCAGGCTTCCCTGATAGCTCAGCTGGTAAAGAATCTACCTGCAATGCAGGAGATCCAGGTTTAATTCCTGGGTTGGGAAGATTCACTGGAGAAGGGATAGGCTACCCACTCCAGTATTCTCAGGCTTTCCTGGTGGCTTAGCTGATAAAGAATCCACCTGCAATGCGGGTGACCTGGGTTCGATCCCTGGATTGGGAAGATCCCCTGGAGAAGTAAAAGGCTACCCACTCCAGTATTCTGGCCTGGAGAATTTCAAGGACTATATAGTGTATGGGGTCAAAAAGAGTCGGACACGACTGAGCAACTTTCACTTTACTTTAGCTCAAAAATTTGTCTATCCAGATACTAATGCTACATTCATGTTATGGCTCTTAGAATCCATCTCCTCCAAGATCTCAGAGTCTCTGCTCCCCTTCCCTCCACCTACCTGCTCAAAAAAGGACGACATAAAACCTGCACCAAAGGTATATTTAACCATTCACACTGAACAGTCCTGGAGGTCACTTGTAATCTCTCTATAGAAGTTTACAGCATCCTTTTGCTTGTTCCAATCTCACTGTCCCCTCCACTCCTGCAAGAAAGTGTGGGGAGAAAGAAGGAGAGGAATTTCAGGGAGACCTGCTGGACTGTGAGGCTTTCCCCAAATGTGAGAGTCACACCTCACTAAGATTAGGTCTGATTCCATTCAGAAAAAAAAAAAAAAAAGACCTTCCTTCCAAAGACCATCACCTCTGTGCCTGCATCAGTCACCACTAGGAATCAACAGGGCTTGAGAAAGTGGAATTCCTCAGTCCACAGACGTGACTGTCAGGCTCTGTGCTAGAGTTCAGGCTGCAAAGTGAGTGAAGACACACTCCATCCCTTGAGGAGCTCACCAACATCAGAGGTGAGCATGAGTGCAAACAAACAGCACAACAGATTCCGGCGTTAAGAGAGGTAAGGATGACATCATAAGGAAGAAGTGATGGTTCTTCCGGGGATGGAAGGGGTGGGCAGGGCTGCTGAGGTAAGAAGAGCAGCAGGCCTGGTGGATAGCAGCTATAGAGCAATTATGCTGGTTGGTTGGTTGGTTGGATGGATGGATGAAACATGGATGGGTGGGGGGATGATGGATAGACATACGGATATGCTGACCACAGGGAGTACTACAGATATAAAAGGAATAGGGATAGAAGGAGGGCATCCCCCAAAACAGTGGCCTAAAATCACAATGGCCTAAAATCATGGTGTATTCCAGGAAAGAGAAGGGGTTTGCTATATCTAGGGCAACAGAGCTGATGCAGTAAGAGGGAAGGTTGGAAAGGTGACAGGGGTCAGATCATGGAATGCCTTGTAATCAAATACAGAAGAGTCTGGACTCCATCCTGCAACAAAGAAAAAGACATTCAAGATTTCAGCTCCAGTGTGCCACAGATGCACGCTGGGTGAAAAGATCACTCTGAAGGCAGCATGCAGACTGGGGGGCGGGGGGCAGGGGCGGTGGTGCAGTGAAGACAGCACATTGGAAGGAAAGAAGGCAAGACAGGAAGCTACAGCACTAGCCCTTTTAAGGCATAACAAGTACTTGGGCAAGAACAGCAGGGAGGAAGAGGACAGGAAGGAATTTTGGGCTGTCTGGAATGCCCAAATAACTGGACTTGATAACCAGCCTGCCATGGCATGACAGCAGAATCAAAGGATGTCTAAGCCTCTAGAATTCAAGACAAAGAACACGGTAAAAGCGGATAATTCATGCAGTCTGAGCGCACCCAGCCTGAAGTACCTATGAGGCATTTGAGTAGAGGAGGCCAGGTCAAAGTCAGATGGTCAGACCTTCAGCTCTGGAGGGACACCGACTAAGAAGCCATCAGCTCAGACACAGTGGCTAAAGAAGGGTGTGGATGGCCCTGATAAGGATGAGCAAATGCCAGTATTTCCTAGGATGTAGGAACAAAGAAATGAAACAATGCTAGCGAAAGTGAGAAAGGGCGGTCTGACAGGGGAGAAAACCCAGCAGAGAACAGTGCCAAAGAAAGCAGAGGAGGAGAAGTTCCAAAAGAGAAACAAGTTTAAAGACTGAAAAACTCAAAGCTGAAACATATCTACCAACTCTGGCAACTAAGAGGTCACTGACAACCTTGGCAGTTTTCGCTGCTTCATAGGAAAGTTAACTGAACAGCAGTGTTGAACTTAAAGCGGGCGGTATTGAGACGGTGAGAGTAGTTTTAAAGCTTCAATTGAAGGATGGATTGACTGAAGCAGGACTCAGAGTTCTGAGGCGTGCTCCTTTTTAAGGTGTGAGAAAAAAGACAGAAGACGGAGATGCTGGAAATGTCAGAGGGAGCGGAGTCAATGGAGTTTCTGAGGTAGGAGGAAACGGGAGCACGAGGACCGAGAGGGCAGAGCTTTCTGCTGAGATGGGAGGAAACAAAAGGAGAACCACTGCAAATGAGCTCCCAGGAGGTGAGGCAAGAGCTCAGGGTTTCTGTCCAGGGTCCCTGTTTCCTCTGGAAAGTGCAGGTCTGATCATTTTGGGAGAATGATGAGGGAGGCATGGATAAAGTCTTGTAGGAAGCATCCAGTGGCACAGAAGAAGGAACGGCTAGATGTTCTGGGCAGTGAGAGGGCCCAGCAGAAGGGGAAAGGCCAGGAATCTGACACGGTCCCCAACCGCAAGGCAGCGCACATGGGCAGTACATCCACGGAAGCAGAGGATGACACCGATGGACAGACCGGGGGTGTGGTGGGGGAGGCGGGGTTCTGGAGGACAGTAAGCAGGCAAGACACTGGGATGAGGGTCAGTTGCAGGTAGTGGTGATAAGAGAATGTTTAAAGTCACAGCTGCCGAGAAGCAGGCTAAACAGATTAAAACAGGAATAAATGAGTGAAAGAGCTCAAATGAGAGAGAACTGTGGTCAGAAGGTGAAACATTAAACTTAAAATTTCAGAGGCAGAGGTAATTGCATCCTATAATTCTGCCACTAGCTTTGTGACCTGGAGCAAGTTATTTCAAGTCTCTAGGCCTCAGCTTCATTTTTTTTTTTTTTTCAGTCTCCTAAAACTTCATTACTTATGTTAAGACAGATGATACAACACGAACTTCATCAGAATTGCTATGCCTCACCTAACAGGAGTAGTGAATGGAAATCATATAGTATCAGGCCAGTGTTAGAATACTTTAAAGCTAACCATTCAGTTTACGACCTGTCTGACCTGGGTTTTTTTTCTCATCTTCTCCCCACTGTCCAACCGGGGGATCTCTCCTTTGTCCAAATTTAAACAGAGAACATATTAGGTAGACTAGGGTGAGAGATGAGATGAACTTCAAATCAGCACTGACTACGGAAGATCAAAAATAGTTTATAAACCATTAGGACTAAGGTGAAAATTGAACAGTATTGCTAACCATAAAATATTTGAAAATTAATAACATCTCCAAACAACATGGGTAACCAATTTAAATATATTAAAAGGTAAAAGACAATAATAATAATAGTTACAAAAATTTTGTTGTTGTTGTTTAGTCACTAGGCCATGTCTGACTCTTTGCAACCTCATGGACTATAGCCCACTAAGCTCCTCTGTTCATGGGATTTCCCAGGCAAGAATACTAGAGTGGGCTGCCATTTCCTTTTCCAGGGGATCTTTCTACCCAGGGGTCAAACCCACATCTGCTGCAGGCAGATTCTTTACCAATGAGGCACCAGGGAAGCCCATAGAAATTATAGGATAGATACCTTAAAAAAAATCTAATAAGGGCTTCCCTGATGGTCCAGTGGTTAAAGAATCCACCTTGCAATGCTGCCGCTGCTAAGTCGCTTCAGTCGTGTCTGACTCTGTATGACCCCAAAGACGGTAGCCCACTAGGCTCCTCCATCCATGGGATTCTCCAGGCAAGAGTACTGGAGTGGGGTGCCATTGCCTTCTCCGTTGCAATGCAGGAGACACCAGTTAGACCCTTGATCTGGGGAAATCCCACAGGCCTCAGGACAATTAAGTCTGTGGCAGGTGGCGATTAAGAGCCAGAACCACTAAGCCTGTACTCTGGAACCCTGGAGCTACAACTGCTGAGCCCACACGCAGCAACTACTGAAGCACACACCCCGGAACTCGAGAGTAGCCCCCACTCCCTGAAACTAGAGAAAAGCCCTCGCAGCAACGAAGACCCAGTATAGCCAAAAATAAACAAACATTTTTTTAAACAATCTGATAAAAGTTTCTTTATTGAAAATTATAAAACATTACTGAAGGACATAAAAGAGACCTGAGTCAATAGAGAGGTATGCCATGTTGAATAGTCAAGTCATTCAGTTAGTATTTATGAAGTACCTACTATGTGCTGGGCACTGTTAAATGCTAAGGACTCAGAGGTGAACAAAACAGACCAGACTCCCTGCCCTCATGGAGCTTAGGCAATGATATATACCATAGCTGCTGCTAAGTCACTTCAGTCATGTCCAACTCTGTGTGACCCCATAGACGGCAGCCCACCAGGCTCCCCCGTCCCTGGGATTCTCCAGGCAAGAACACTGGAGTATTTTGCCATTTCCTTCTCCGATTCATGAAAGTGAAAAGTGAAAGTGTCGCTCAGTCGCGTCCGACTCTTCGAGACCCCATGGACTGCAGCCTACCAGGCTCCTCCATCCATGGGATTTTCCAGGCAAGTGTACTGGAGTGAGTTGCCATTGCCTTCTCTGATATACTATAGATCAATCTACAAATTCAATGTGGTCGTGATCAAAATCTCAACAGTATTTTTTAACTAGGTGAACTGATTCCAAAATCCATATGGAAAAATAAACGTTCAAATCCAGGAAATTTCTAGGAAAAAATGAACATGGAAAAAGTGCTTGTACTCCTAGATATCAAGACTTGAGGCATCAGCACAGGGACACAAATAAGAGCAACATAACAGAACTGAGCATCTCTAAGCTGACACAAGTGTGAATAGCAAGTTCAAATATTTTTTTTTAATGGCGCTCTAAGTCATTGGAAAAGGCTGCACTTCTCCAGTAATAGTGGGACAGTTGGTCATCAATATAAGGAAAAAAGCAGATTCCCACACTTGACACAAATATAAAAATATAGATGATTTAAAGATCTAAAATGTTAGAACATTAAAACATTCACAATCTCTGTCTCTCTGTGTGTCTTTCACACCCTCCCCATACACACACACTTCTTTTTAAAAAGTATTAGAAGAAATATCTTTATGACCTTGAGTTGGGAAACAATTTCTTAAGCAAGACAGAAAAAGCATAACCCATAAGAGAAAAGTTTAATAAACCTAACTATATCAAAATTCAAAACCAGTTCTATAGGACTTTCCTGGCTGTCCAGTGGTTAAGACTGTGCTTCTAATGCAGTGGGGCAAGGGTTTGATCTCTGGTCAGGGAACTCAGATCCCACATGCTGAGTTATGCAGCAAAAACAAAAAAAAAAGAATTAAAAAAATAAAATCTTCTACAAAATAATCCATAAATAAAGTAAAAAGATAGGCCCCAGAACATAAGAAAAGTGCGTCTATAACAGACAAAATTTTGGTATCCAGAATGTTAAAAAGAACTAATCAGACTTTTAAGAAAAAGATAAACCCATAGAGAAATAGGCTGAAAATATAAATAGGCAGGTCATGGAGCAGAAAAGGAGAATGGCCAAGAAAAGGAATGAAAAGACATTTCTACCCTCACAGGAGGAAATGCTAAATATTTAAATGCCACTTTACAACTATCCCATTAGCAAACATCAAAATACTGACCAAGCATTGGTGAGGGTGTGGGGAAACAGACGCGCAGAATCAGAGCAAACTGGAATGTGCATTGGTGCAACCACTGAGGAGGGATTTAGCAATGTCCAGTAAAAATGAAGATAAGAACATGCATGAGCCAGCACTGCCACTTGTAGATCTATTTCTGAAAGAATCTTGCATGTGTTCCCCCAGGAGAAATGTGTAAAAATGCTCATTTGTACAATGTCTATAGAAACAAACAAACAAACAAAAAAAAAAAGGAAACAATCTAAATGTCTTCAAATGGGAGAACAGAGTAGTAAATGAGAAGGTACTCATAAAATGGAACACCATGGGGAACACATGTAAATCCATGGCTGATTCATGTCAATGTATGGCAAAAACCACTACAATATTGTAAAGTAATTAGCCTCCAACTAATAAAAATAAATGAAAAAAAAAAAATGGAACAGCAAACAACTACTGAAATGAATGAAGTATACCCGGATGCATGAGATTTCATTGAAGGGAAAAACTCCAGGCAGAATTAGAGGTAACAGTATGATACTATTTATCTACATCTTTAAAACATATAAAGTCATACTGCATATTGTTCATGAATACCCATACTTAAATAAAATATAGTGACATTCATGGGAATGAGAAACAGCAAGTTCACAACAGTGTTTACTTCTGTGGAGGCAGGGAACCGAAAGAGACTTGCACTTGTAGGGAAAAAAAGCTCTTTCCCTCACTAAGAAAAAAAACTGAAGCAAAAATATCCAAATTTCTTTTATTTCTGATTTTTGTACCCATGAGTATTTCTGGCATTATTTTCTGTACTGTGCTGTACTTTTTGACTTGATTTTTTTTTTCTATCAGCCAATGTCTTTACAACTCTGAACAGAACATTACAAAAAGAAAACTATAAAACTGGTTAAGCTAAGGTTTGGGACATCTATGAATGTCTGCCAACAGTGCTACCTTTGTTTCCCATCATCCAAGAGAATCAGAAGTCATGTGGGCATAGTAAAACCTCCTTGGGATGAATCTCACTAAGACAATGTTACAGGGAAGACGTCAAGGCCAGTTCTCCCAAAATGCATATCTCACCTCGCGCACATGTCTCTTCAGGTGCATGTAGACACTCTGTCCAGTTTTTCTAAAGTGTCTTTCCACGTGTTCCCTTCCAAAGGCCAAAAATGTATTCATGCATACATAGAGTCCGCCTTCAGAATTCTAGAAGAGACAGGTTACAACGTTAGTGAAGTAGTCTAGACACAGAAACAGAGACGGGCAAGGCAGGCAAACAATGACAAACGATGAAGACCAAGTCCGGCAAAAGGCCACCCAGCCATCATAGTCACCTGCGGTGACCTCAAGGGCTCACAGCCGCTTACACGGCTCCTGCCCCGACCCTGGGTCCCCGGGGCCCTCTGACAGCAGTCTCACAGTCAGGGAGAACCCCAGGGGCTCTGGGGAATAAACACGCCTGCCTGACTCTCCAAACTGGGGTGAGGGGCGATCAGGGGTAGAAGAAAGCTGGCAGCTGGTCCCATGACCATCATCCCATATAATTAGGCTTTTTTAAATTTTACTGAAGTATGTGCTTAGTCGCTCAGTCATGTCTGACTCTTTGCAACCCTATGGACTATAGCCTGCCAGGCTCCTCTGTCCCTGGGATTTTCCAAACAAGTATATTAGAGTGGGCTGCCCTGTCTCCTCCTCCAGGCAATCTTCCCAACCCCAGGGATCGAACCCATGTCTGTTTTATCTCCTGCATTGGCAGTTGGCTTCTTTACCACTAGTGCCACCTGGCAAGCCCCTTTTTGTTGAAGTATAATTGATTTACAATGTTGTGTTAATTTCAGCTGTACGGCAAAGTGATTCAGTTATACAAATTTTTTCTTATTCTTTTCCATTACAATTTATCACAAGATATTGATTATAGCTCCCTGTGCCATACAGTAGGACCTTTGTCTATTCATCCTATATACAATAGTTTGCATCTGCTAATCCCAAACTCCCAATCCTTCCCTCCCCCAGCCCCCACACTTAGCAACCACAAGTCTGCTCTCTTTACAAAGACCATCAATTCAATACTTCATCATCGTTCTCCCTCACCGGTCAGTGAAGGTCTCCAGGAACATAAAGTTTTATATCCTTTTAGCAGGACAGGATACTTCAAAGATATTGTCCCCTTCCTTCAGTGATGCATGGTATTTGATGGTGCCCATTAATAAATTATAACAATTCAATAAATAAATAATAAGTAAATAATAATGAAGCCGTCACATTTTTACTGAATACCTGATACGTATCAAGTGCTTTGCACATATTATTTCTAATCCCAACAATACTGCAAACTGCTTAGTATTATTTCTATTTATAGTTTAAGAAAAACTAAACATAAGTGACTTGCCTAAGTTCATACAACTTGGAAGTGTCAGAGTTAAATTTGAATCTATTTCTCTTTTATCCCTCTCTGCCATACTTCAAATATTATTTAATTATGGAGATACAGCTATAATGAACAGGCAAGGATATTGTTCACATTTGAGATACTTGATTTTTTTATCCCAATTTTTCTCTCCCTTTGCTTAATGCACTTCTTTGTAAACTTCTATAAAGTTAGTCATCCTTTCCTCAATGAAAATGGATTTTTATTACTATCCTATGAGTTCCACCATCCAAATAATTCTTTAAAAAACAAAAATTTTAAACACCTGTTAGAACTGCCAACAAAGATCAACACTCCTTACAATGAATTTTAGTAGAACACAAATTACAATATCAAAACAGACACTGATACCCTTACAAATATATGAAAAATAATTTTTAAAGTCCCAATAACCCAAGATTGTTTATTTTTTTTAATATCAAATAAAATTTTCCAACATTGTATCTATGGTTTATAAGCCAGACGTAAAGAAGCCTTGTCACAAAAAGAACATTATAATAACATTAGTTCAAACATCTGCCTGTTATTGTAGCATTTATAATGTGTAAGGCAAGAAAAAGAAAGTCACAAAGAAAGAAGTAAAATGGCCTAAATTTGTTGATAACATTATTGTCTGCATGGAAAATCCTAAGGAATCTACAATCTACTAAATAACTAATAAAACTAGTAAGTGAATTTAATTTCACAAGGTCATGGGATACAGATCAATAGACAAAAATCAATTTCAATTTGATAGCCTGGCAACGAATACTTACAAGTGAAATTTTTAAACTTGACTGTAAAATACCATCCAAAAAACTCAGAATTATATAGCTTGTGCTTCTGGTTAACTTTTTCCCTTTAAATGACATCAGTGGAATAGAATAGAAAAGTTCTTCAACTAGAGGCAACACACTGCATTCACCTGATCAATAGACTAGGTAAATATTTTCAAAAGATTTTTTCAAATAACTGTTTACTTATTTAAACAGATTCTTTTGCATAGTCATAACCCTTAAGAAAACATATTGCACCATTATAATGGCAAGTTATTCATTAAGCCAATTAAATTGAGCATTCCATAGTGTGATTTTTAAAAAAAAGAACAACACTTCCATTCTCTTCCAATAAAATGTAGTTCAATCAGAAAGTTTTCAAACCAGAAGACATAATCGGGGAAATACGAGATTTGAAACCAGAAGTCCTGAACTGCCACTAAATAGCTCTATGACCTCAATAGAGTCTGTCAGATGGTCTCCGAGAGTCAGTATTTTCTTCATTAAACATACCTCTAGCAATAATTGCCACCTCACAGGGCTTCGTGAAGTTCAAAGGGGAAGAAACACCCACTGTGCTATAAGTCATTATGTAAAGATTGATAATTATTTATTATGAGTTAAAAGTTCTATGTGCTACATGTATCTCCTATCATCACAATTATTTTCTACTTGGGGGGAAAAGCAAAAGGAAGAAAAAGGTCAGTCTAACAGCCACACAGGCTGGGGATAACAAATATTAATTTGTCATAAAATGTATTAGGCAGCTAGTGGGAGAACCAAGAAATTAGCAAGCAGGAAAAGAAAAACGTTCAAGTACAGCATTTTTCTTAAGAAAAAATATAGAATAGCTATATAATGCAAGATTATGTAATCTCTAATATAATCATAAAGTCTTTACTAACTTCATTGCCAAGAATTTTTTACTTACTAAGGAATTTGACAAAAATTTAATATACCAAACATCCAATATTAAATCTCTGGAGTCACTTGATACTGTCACAAAGTCCATAATTAAAGAGAAAAATGCTTTGGCACTCATAGACAATCCCACATAGGGAAGGATTCTATTCTAAATACCCAAGGACATCTTCCATCCCACATATATGCTGGCCTCTGAAACGGCCTATGGCCCTCACTACAGGCTCTGAGCTGGAAGCACTGCCCCGGGAATCTGCTAGTAGTTCTAAAAGTTAAGACACACTAACATAGAAAACCCTTTAAAAGCTACTCATATAGAACAAACACCTTAGTCTAACCCATCTAGTGATCTACACCTTCTTCTCTCTTGTCTCATTAAGATCTGTTTATATAAGAAGGTCCTGCATGATTTCTTGGCTGCACTACTGGCCACATGAAGACAAGTGCTATATAGTCCTTTTGGGAGCAGTTATCTTAGTGACGGGGAGGATGGTCAATGAGAGGAAGGTGAGGGTTTGAACATTCTTAACAGTCAATTAGCTTAGATTCACATCTTATATCAAAAACTATAATGAGGTCCAGATAGATCCAAGACATAAGCATCTAAAAAACTAGAAAAGAGCAGACTTGTATATTTATCCTACTTATGAAGAGAAAATAATTTCTGGCCAAGAAAATACACAGAATCAAAAGAGAAGAAATAGTTGAGTATAACAATGTAAACACTAATGAACAAGTTTTGCAATATAATGAAACAGAAACCAACAAAAACAGAATGGGGAAAGATGTAAAGTATAATGAAGGAAAGCTTATAGCCAAACTATGTAAAAAGTGATAAAAGTATTACAAGATGTCAACATTCAGGTTTAGCTTGGTAAGAACTTGCTGTCATTTGTTTAGGGTCATTTAGTTTTAACTGTGAGAAAATATTAAATTCAAATCATATCTCCACTACCTCCTGAAGGAATTATGTTAAAACAATCCCAAGGCAATTATATGCCTACTAAACTGACAAACAGTATTAAAATTACACAGCCTGAACCCACAAAGAAAACCTGTATATCTCCTCTCACAATATAAATCGGTTCCACCCTTCTAGGGAGCAATAAACTGTGGCCTTTGACACAGTATTTCTCCTTTGCTGTGACTTCAGGAACCCGAGAGGAAAAATAACTTTATCTGTACAAAAATATTCACAGATGAACTATTTACAATAGGAAAACAGCCCCCAAATAGAGGAACTAAGAACCTGAGACATATAAACACAAAACACAACAGATACTGTAACATTATTTAAAATGACAAATATATGAATTGTGTGTAAAGCGTACAGAAAACATGTATAGAACTGCATGTAAAGTACATAGGAAAATAATGTTCATGGAACACATGCTGATGACAAGGAAGAAAAGGAAGAGGGGAAGGGAGGTTGCAGGCTGACAAAAACCTGAAATGAAACCGGAACAGATCAAAGGTTTTAAGTTCTTGACTTGGGGGTCCTCAGCCTTACCTCCCATTACTTCTGTGCTTGGTGTAGAGAGGTGATTCTCATACTACTGTCATGAAGGGCCAGGCTATTTTGTTTTGTTCTGTTTTGTGTTTTGTTGCGCTTCTATTCATTAAGGAAAGGTAAGAGGTTCCAGAGGTCCCACTGAGCGTGGCTAGTTCCCACCTTCAGCCAGGTGTGAACCGAAACGTTTAAGCACCATGAAGCTGAAATGGGTCTATATCCTGTTCAAACAAACTAATCCACTGCTGGTGAACTTGGAAGTGGCCACAATGGCAAGCTGCTATAGAAATTTCCAAATGCTTACTCTCAATGTTCATGATTCTCTCATGGCACCAGTCAGCTGACCACACTTCAAGTAGCACTGGTCTAGAGTGAGGTGAATTGCCCAGTGCTGAATGTCTCACTGTCAGGAAAGCATCTCTTCAAGGACCTCCAGGGACACCAGGCAAGGCCTCAAGCCTGCAGAGCCCCCCACGTCAAAAGCAGGGAATTCCCTGGCAGTCCAGTGGTTAGGACTCCGCACTTTCACTGCTGAGGGCCCAGGTTCAAGCCCTGGTCGGGACACTAAGATCCCACAAGTCACAGTCCCACA